ACTCTGATTTTTTTTTCCTAATATGAGCTATATAAATAAACTTAACAACAAATACTGCTACACGAATAGATGGATCTTGACCAAACTTATATGCATACATTTGATTATCCATATTCAAATACCGAATGGTACTTAACACACAATATCTATCCTTCTGGGGCCGGGGCCCCTTTTCATTTTTCCTTATATAAACTATATAAGTAGCAATAGGCTTAGTACTCTTACATGAATAGATGGATCTTGACCAAACTGAATACACATAATCTTGATTATCCACACTCAAATAACGAAGGGTACTGAACTCATAATACCCATACTTGTGGGGCAGGGGGCCCCATTTATTTTTTTACTAATACAAGCTATATAAATATCAATAGGGTTAGACAACACCATAGGTTCTATGTGATTAGTTGGATCTAGGCCTAGCCTTGTAGCAATACCATTCTTAGTCCGTTTTAAAATATCGTTTGATTTTATATTCAATCCATTTAAGGCCCATCTAGAATTTTCTAGAAACTTCGATAGTTCAAAAAAAGCTATGTCTATGGCATTTGTAAACCACTTGTAATAGGACACGTTTTAAATGTATAATTTATGTCAATGATTTTTATAGCCCCCCCCCCCCGCCAATCTCAGACATAAATAAAACTGTACTTTATTAAATGGGCCCCCAACGGGGCCCCCATATCAATTTAAATGAATTATAGTTAGTTCTAGAATTTTCTAGAAACTTCGATAGTTCAAAAAAAGCTATGTCTATGGCATTTGTAAACCACTTGTAATAGGACACGTTTTAAATGTATAATTTATGTCAATGATTTTTATAGCCCCCCCCCCGCCAATCTCAGACATAAATAAAACTGTACTTTATTAAATGGGCCCCCAACGGGGCCCCCATATCAATTTAAATGAATTATAGTTAGTAGCACAATTTAGTTATATAATATTTCGCATTCGAGAAATAATTACATAGAAATGTAATTTTTACACGTTTCATGGAGTATATTAAATTTATTCTAGAATGTTCTACAGGGATATATAATTAGATCTAAAAACTTATTAAAACAAAATCGCACTGAGCATGATCCCAATAGAGAAACGGGATCCTAATGGGTCACATCGGTTACGCGTTTCCATAGGGGAACAGGATACCATTGAGATCCCCTTGGGTAACGGGCTTAAACCGGGATCAGGATCCCATCAGGAAAAGAGAGTCCCTAGGTGGAACCGGATCCCTCAGTGAACGGTATCCCGACGGGATCGGTAGCGCATCAGGATCCCCTGAGATCAGGATCTCACTGGGATCGAGACACCGACCGGATTGGGATCCCAATGGGATCTGGATTCCCCCTGGAATCAGAGCCAAAAAGAAATAAGATTCCCCCGGGAACGGGATGAAACTGGGAAAAGGGATTGCACCGGGATCGGGTTTAGAATGGATTGGGGACTCATTAGAATTGGGGTCTTACCAGGATCGGGGTCCCAAGGACAGACCTTACAAAAAGTTGGCATTGATTTGAGGCAGGTTTGATCTTCGCAAGGGAATGCATTGTATAGTCTCCGGAATATCCAGATACTTGATAATTTCGAAACCCTTTTGTTTCTTTCAAAAAGGCTCTCCGCTGCGAAGCGCGGGTATTTGGCTAGTCACAACTGAGAAAATATACCTATATACCTATAATAATTATTATGGCTCTAATAAAGCCAATTGTCACCTAAATATCAGTTATTAAGGCTCTAAAAAGATCACAACAATGTTTCGCTGTTTTCGCCATACTATTGCTTTGTGCCGCTGCATTAATATTTAGCCTAGTGCCAACACATTAGTCTTAAAGTGCTGGTGACGTGTTCATTTAGTTCGGCAATCCATCGCCCTTACCTCCCTTGGTGGGGAATTCCTTTTATTAAACCGGGTCACTTAAAATTGTTGCTGTGACGGGTCTCACCGGGTCTCGCGGGTCTCACCGAATCTCACCGGGTCTCATCGGGTCTCGACAGTGAATCTCAAGACATCTCAATTGGTTGCCTAAGTCATAAAAGTGAACAGGTCTGCAGTAGGCCTACTACATAATATTTATACAAAGCCATGATACATGCACACGCGTGTTATTTGGTCAATAACAATGTTTATGAGCGTAAGAATGACGCATTTCAAGAAATGAATCAATTGAAAAAAACCTGGTTTCCTTAATTAAAGTTTAAAAAATAAAACAATAATAATAATAATGGAAATATCACCATTCCCATTGATTATCCAATACAATTCACCTTTGCCTATGACATCAGTGATGAGCATGATAATGATAATATCAAAATGAATATCGCAAATGAAAGAACCGAATAAACCTAGGGTTCCAAATGTTATTTTTGACGATAAAAAAAATTAACGATATCAATATTACCATTCCATTAGTTGCTCTCCCACAAAACTGTTTACACTTCTTGCCTGCGCCAGTGGTCGGAAAACTCATTAATCAAAAAAAGCCAAAAATATGCAGCAGGATGATTTTAAAAATTTGAGAGATTGTCGCTAAAGAGTCCCATGCAGCTCACAACCCACGGTTAGCCGACAAGCGACAAAGATCTAATTGAAATTTATTTATTTTTTTAAATATAGGACAAGTAGGTCATCACTCATCAGCTCGCTTTAAGTAGTTTTCGCTGAGTATTAGTCATATAACATCCGATGACAGCAATGCGTCGAGACCTCAGTCATTTTCGGCCAGATGGTCGAAAGTCTCAATCCCTTACGACCGAAACCAAAATTAAACCAAAAGTTAACTTTGACCGAAAGTTAACTTTTAACCGAAACTAGGCCGAAAGTGATCAAACGGAAACTTTCGGCGCCGAAACCAAAATCGAACACGAAATTCGGTAGGTCTCCATATGGCACCCTTGTCACAATAGGTTCCCTTGTCATACTATGGCCCCCACTGTCACACAATGGCGCCCCTGTCATATTACTACGCCCCTGTCAAATTCTCTGGCACTTTTATTTTAGGAAAGACTTAATCTGAAACTTACCGCAATAGTAACCAGTAACAAAATTGTGTGTGGGGGGGGGGGTTTGCTGAATAAATTAATATAAAGAAAATAAGCTCTGAGAGGTCAAACTCTCATGAATAACTTACACCAGCGGTTCTCAATCTATGGGTCGTAAGACCCTTACACAGGGGTCACATAAGACCATCGGGAAAGACTTATTTATGAAGTAGAACGAAAAATAATTATGGGTGTGGTCACCACAACATGAGGAACTGTCTTAAAGGGTGGCTGCATTAGGAAGGTTGAGAACCACTGGATCACAGCAAGTTTTTTGTCTCGCCGTTTCATGTGATGTTACTCTGAGAAGTTGTTGTCTGGGGTTAAAACACATGCGTTATGTTTGTAACATTGAAAATTCCTTACAATTAAAATCCTTTAGCTCAAAAAGGCTGTTATCGTAAAAAAAAATTAGTAATTTATGATTAAAAAATAGGTTAATATTAGAAATAGTCATTACCCAATGGTCTACTTACAATGGCCACTTCATTTCGCCAACGCGTTCTGCCCTAACAGATCATCATGACGTCGCCCAACAAATACTGCCAATTTTATTTGATAAAAAAAGAGAACTAAAACACTATTGATTTCATGAATTGTACACATTCCTTTTGGAATCATCTGCGGGCTGGCAGACGAAGAGCGTCTAGTTGTTACTCAAATAATGGTCCGATGATGGACTTGTAATTGGTGTTGAATGTTCGTGCATCCTGTATAAATTTGTCCCGCGTTTGAATTCCTGTGAGTGTAATGTGTATAACAGGAGAGGGCATCATTGAGCCGTGTGGTCAGGGCAATACTACAACACCAGGGAAACGATTCACACAGGTAAGCAAAATAACGTGTATGAATTGTAACTACAGTTCCATGTGTAGATGGCTCTGCATTATTATATTCTGTTATCATTGTAAGTTATTCGTCAATTTGGAAATTGTGATTTTAAGAAATCATATGTCTTTATCTCTAGTTCAAAAGGGATGTCTTTGTCTCTACTGCCACAAGAAGTCTTTGTCTCTACTGCCACAAGATGTCTTTGTCTCTACTGCCACAAGATGTCTTTGACTCTACTGCCACAAGATGTCATTGCCTCTACTGCCACAAGACGTCTTTGTCTATACTGCCACAAGATCTCTTGTTCTCTACTGCCCCAAGATGTCTTTGTCTCTACTGCCACATGATGTCTTTGTCTCCAGTGCCACACGATGTCTTTGTCTCCAGTGCCAAAATTTGTCTTTGTCTCTAGAGCCAGATGAGTCTAACTGCGACAATTTTACTCTCGCACACAATCCATTATGAGTATGTCAACCCTTATAATCTTGTTGAACAACGCAACCGTAAGAGAACGTTGTTTGTTTATGCATATCAAAACACGTCAGTTAAACATAGAAGTGCTAAAGTATATAGTTCTTTTTTAAAAGATAATTTCCGAGCTTGAATTAACTTTATTAGCTAGTATAGACACGAATCATGACAGGCGCGTCAATATGAAACACACTTGATACAATATAGGTTGTTGTTTTTTTTTTTATCACTCAATTTTGCGTGCATATTTTATAAATATTATTTAACGAAAAGATTATCTGGTAACAGTCTCCCAAGCTTAGTTCAATGAGACAAAGCCAAGGCAAGAAACTGGACAATTTTGACATTATTCTATAAACTAATGGCAATCAATAAATATAAATATTCTGCGTTTTTTAATTAATTTTTTGTGTGTAATTAAATCATTTTTTTCCTATAACAGTGTACAAGCCTCTCAAATAAAAATTGGAAAATTCAAACTATAATGATATCAATTGTATTCTATTTTAGATTGTCTTCTGCAGACATTTTCAATCGGCACAAATTACGATTTACAACCTGGCCCCTTAAAGAAACAAGAAAACACCCATGAAATGGATAGGGTATACTTTTCAGCAAGAGATGAGAACGAGACCTGGGCCATCACTTTCATCTGCATACTCTTAGCACCAATCACTTTCGTCGGTGCTGTCGGCAACGTTTTAAGCATCAAAACATTTTTCCGCCTTGGAATCTCAGACGGCGTGAATCTGTCCCTGCTGTCGTTGGCAGCGTCCGATCTCTTCTACCTCATCACAGCGTTGATCACCGCCATCAGCTTGATGCTCCTTGGTGTGGAGGAACTCTCCGGTTACAAAGTTCGTTTCGCCCTTGACCCGGAAGCGGTCTTCATGACCTCTACACACTCCGGAAGTGGCTTCTACGCCATCTCGATGCTGGTGACGACGTTCATCACCGTGGTTCGATGTCTCGCCGTTGCCCAGCCTTTAAAATACAGAAATTTGATCTCAAGGCAAACCACCACCATCATCATCTCATTGTTTACCGTTCTGTCTGTAACATCGGCCGTTTTAACGTTGGCTTTCTTGGGTATTCTCCATCAATTCGACTCTAAAACCAACACAACAAGTTCATCACTGTGGCTGTCGCCACAACAAGCTATAATCAAAGACGTCATTTTTGGAATAAGAGACGTGATCTTGCCACTGACGTCTCAAATAATAGTTGGTGTTTGCGTGGTCATCATGGCCAGATACCTCCGGAAAGCTTCTAGTTTTCGTAAAACACTTTCTAGTAATATTGCTATGGACACTATAACAAGTATTTCTCTGATCGCAGAACCCCTTACAAGAAATAACAATCCTGCATCAGCCAAGGTGGCTGGCAAAGAAATTCAAGTTGTTCAACAGATGCTGCTCATAGCCGTAGTCTACAGTTTGTGCAACATGCCAAAAGTCGTCTTCAATATGACACAAATTATTTTGCCCGAATTCTACAGGGGTGGCCGCTACAGTGCTTTGTATTCAACATTCAACATTGTAAGAGAATTAATTCAGTCGGTGAATGCCAGCGTGACTATTTTCATTTACTGGAAATATAATTCAAAGTTTCGGAATCACTTCGTTCTTCAACACTGAGTGTTTACGCAGTCCCTACATTCTTTACGACTGAAGATAATATAAGCCTTGCAAATAGATCACGCCAACTTGACCAAAAGATCACGCTAACCTGGCAAAGTGATCACGTTTACCTGGCAAAAGGATCATGTCAAAAAAGTATCACGTGAATTCCTCAAACTCATTACGTCATCCTGGTATATACATTACGTCAGCCTGAACAACAGATAGCATCAACGTATCAATGCATCACGCCAACCTACTCAATGGATCACGTCAGTCTGTCGAATAGATCACGTTGTCCCCACCAAAAGATCATGTCACCTGACCGAAAGATCTCGTGAACCTGAGGAACAGATCCCATCAAAGTGACCAATAGATCCTCTCAAATTGACCAACAGATCCCATCAAAGTGACCAATAGGTCCACTCATATTGACCAACAGATCCCATCAAAGTGACCAATATATCCACTCAAATTGACCAACAGATCTCATCAAAGTGACCAATAGATCCACTCAAATTGACCAACAGATCCCATCAAAGTGACCAATAGATCCACTCAAATTGACCAACAGATCCCATCAAAGTGACAAAAAGATCTACTCAAATTGACCAACAGATCCCATCAAAGTGACCAATAGATCCACTCAAATTGACCAACAGATCCCATCAAAGTGACCAATATATCCACTCAAATTGACCAACAGATCTCATCAAAGTGACCAATAGATCCACTCAAATTGACCAACAGATCCCATCAAAGTGACCAATATATCCACTCAAATTGACCAACAGATC